GGTTGTGGACTCTCCATGGTCTGGTGGGACCCGGGGTGGAGCCGATCCGTGACGAGGGCGTCACGTGATTGAGTGGAGTAGAATGTCATGGACAAATAGTCCCACATCGGCTAGGTGTAGGGCCGAAAAGCAGTATTTAAGTCCTGGGCTGCCCACCACCCATAAGGGCTCTTTTGGGAGGTGACAGCAGGCTCCTTCTGCGGCTCGCAGCTCGTTCTTCGTCATCCCGAGAAGCGCCGGCTTCTTCTGCGGCTCCTGTCCTCGCTCGCAGGGCGCGAGCTTTCCTCTGGCTCGAACGAATTGCCCACTACTCGACTTCCCTTTCTCTGCATTTCCGATTATTTTTTGTGTTGAGTATTTTTTGTGTTGTAATCTGTATCTTTCGTCATCCCGAGAAGCGCAGGCTCCTTCTGCGGCTCGCAGCTCATTCTTCGTCATCCCGAGAAGCGTCGGCTTCTTCTGCGGCTTCTGTCCTCGCTCCCACAACGCGAATAGAGTTAGAGCGCACGCGCGCGCACCCCAAAAATACAGATTACAACACAAAAAATACACATTAAGATCACAATTAATGAAATAGAATTTCCAAATTCTTCCATTGTTGCAAACACACTAAGAAAAATTGCACATAGCACATCATAGGAGAAAAATTGAAAGCATTGACCAACCAAAAGAGCAGCTTTTTAAAAAATTGTTGATGCGGCGTGAAGAAGTTAGTTGTCTTTTTGTTTTTGCAAAACAATGACCTTTCTGCCCCTGTTCTATAGTGTTGTTTATAACAAAATCATTCATACTAGCACATTTCATATTTGAAAGCAAATATCTAGTTTGAACGTTACAAAATAAAAACAGACACCTCACAAAACATTGTACTTCCAAGTCTCTCAAAACCACAAGAAGCAAAAAGGCAAAACCATAAAAACCCATATACTTCCAAGCCTCTCAATAAAATTTAAATGCAATATGATATTTTCTCATCTATTTCTCCCTCATTTTTGTCATAGTCATAAAACCAAGCCATAAAAGGCAATCACAGAGCTAAGTCACAAACGACAATCACAGAGCTAAGTCGTTCCTCAGAAAAAACAGGATTGCAATTGAAAGAGTCGTAAAACCATTTTACCACAAAGAAAGTCAAAAACCACAAAGATAAATCCTCAACATCAACCATAAACCTCACAGGAGGAGGTAACATAAGGGGAAAGAGGGGTAGGAAAATAACAGAGGACAGTAGAGAAAAGGGACTCAGAACTGCTAGGGTAGAAGTGCTTGCGAGGAACGAAAAAAGGAGTGGAGCTCTGCGAGAATGAAACAGTAGAGCAGACGCGAATGCGGGAAATTCGGGGCAACCAAGTAAAAAGAAAGCTAGCGAACGCGGGCCACAGGGTCGAGCCCTCAACCGCGTTTTTATTAAATATTTTTAATACATCACCGCATCGCACGAAACAAACATGCGATTTAGTGGTTTCCCACTGTGCCACAACAATAAAGTTGTGTCAAACACGGTCTTAATCGAATCAAACTCGAAATTACCGAGTTTAGCTTAACTCAAAATTAACCTAATTATGAGCCATCTTGACCTAAAAAAACTCAATTTCAGTTCACCTTGAAATGGATTTTGAGTAAACTCTAAATTACAAATATATGAGATTGTGATTCTTTCAAAATCAAATTTCAGGGTCGGTATAGGGATTCTGGTTTCTTAAAATTCCACAAACTTTCCTCCTATCTTTTCATAAGATTTTCACACTCGTGAAATTTCAGGGTCAGTGCAAGGATTCCGATTCCTTAAAATTCCACAAATTTTCCACAAGTTTTTTCACTCGACAGGAATTCTACTTCCTTCGAAATCAAATTCAGGGTCGGTGCAAGGATTCTATTTCCTTCAAAATCAAATTCTATTGCAAGCATTCTGATTCATTTAAAAAATTCACAATTTTTTTTGCAATCTATCCACAAATTTTCCGCAATCATGAAATTTTGGGATAGGTATAAGACCTCCTTAAATGGAGCAAGGCATCATAGTCCCCTTCTAAGCATTCACTGTTAGGATAGGTGTAAGACCCCATTAAATGGAGTATATATTTTATAGAAAAAATAACATAGAATAATAGTTAACTAAGCATGAATGTAATAAAAATAATAATAATAATAAATTTTTCTCTATTGGTCAAGGCTTACTGGCAACAAAAACTACTAGAATAATAATAAATGCCCCTAATTAATACATCAAACTAAGCATGAATGTTCTCTATATACAACTAATCAAATCTACAACTAAAATTATGCTCGAGTCGTCAACAGAAATTCCATCTGTAAATTTAACTACCAGGCAAAAACTCAATCAGGAATTCAAACCAAGTCCTGTTAGCTCAACTAAGATACAACACCATCAATATTGGCTCACAATTCAATTAATTCAATCCAAACAAATTTGATCTCTCTTGCACTAGCAAGAGGAATTAAATTAAAATACAAAGAAGCTGAATTAGGCCTAATTTTCATACCTTCTAGTTCCTTCATTATTATAGACCATTTTTTTTATTATTCAATTTCATTTTTCTGATATTACATGATGAAGACAGATTCATCTTCTTTTTTTTTTTTGGCGGATATAAGCTTAAATGTATTAATCTTAATGAATGATTGATCGATTCCTTATTCAATGGAGTGATGGTTGAATGCTGGTTTTTGCTTCTTCTCCAATCAATTTAACTTGTAAATGTGAATCATCCCAAGTTGTAATTATGAAAAGAGAGCAAATGTAACTTAATTATGGAATTTCCAAAACAAAGAAAAAACCCAAGGTTTATGTGGTTCGCACAGAGCTCAAAATATTCTAAGAAGCAAGTAAGCATTAGTAGAGAAATGTGGGGGAGATTGCACTTTATTCAAATCATTATGAAGAATGGAAGGCGTATAATGCCTGATGTCCTTGCTTGTAGAAGTTAAAAGCTCAATATCTCTATGTGACAAAAGAAGGAAAAAAAACATTTTGGTACCCATTAATACAATTCTTCCAAGCGATTTCGTCAAACGAGACTTTTCCTCACTGAAATGAGAAACACTCGCTTGCCAAAAGACTCTTCCTGATAGCAAACGACAGAACTCTCCACTCTTTCTTGTTTTTTACAGTGCCTCGTTTGCAACAATAACTCGATTGCCACAATGCCCCAAATGCTACAGTGGTTGAACTCCTGTCAATTTCTTTCGTTCTTTCTGTTGTGGATGGTTGCCATGGTGTGGGATACTAGGCAATCAAAGGGAGGTGTATATATATATATATTAGATAAGTATTTATATAAACTTATATATATATATATAGATAAGTATTTATATAAACTTGGAAAAACTATGAACCCCGTAAGAAGGAAAATAAAATCTCACAAAACTAACTGCCTGTAGATCATGTTGTTCTCTTTACATTAACATCGCAAATGATATATAAATCAAGGATTACAATAACGAGAAAATTCCATCCCATATCAACAAAGATTTATCATCGTATCACCTAACAGTTGAAAACATAGAGCTCCTACTCCTTTCCGCTGCTGCTTCCCATTCTAGTTAGCTTGCAGTTATTTTAAATTCTTTACTCAATCTCCTTTCTTCAAGAAGTCCAAATCATCATCCCTCCCACACACATTCCACCAAAGAACACAAACCCTAACCTCCTTGTCTAATCACAAAGTAAACAAGTAAATCCAATAAAACCCCTCCCAACACATAAAAGTAAATCCAATAAAACCCCTCCCAGCACATAAAAGTAAACGCAATAAAACAATCCAGCAACAGAATATCCCCATAATACTCCTTCCACTAAGATCTAAACCCAGAAAATGAAGTAAAAAAAGATTCATCAACAGATCTGAAAACAGCGGATAGAACGACGACTAATGCCAGAGAAGTAAGAACATGCAGTCCGAATGGAAGAAAATTATACCTAAGCCAGTTAAGATGCAAGAAAGGAGAAGGAAGAGAGCTTCACCTCGGTCAGACCCGGAATCTTCTCCTGTTGCTCCGCTTCTGCCATCACAGGCCTCTGCGGTGTCTCGTTACGGACAGCTAGTCGTCAAAGGCGGGCCGGAAGAAACCAGACCCGCCGACTGCGGGTATTTCCTCTTTCGAGATTTTTCGTTTTGGCTCAGCCCTTTTTTCATTATTTTATTTGGGTGATGGGAGCAAAATTTGACCTCAGACGTATTGAACATCTAAAATGTATCGATATAGAAAATTAGGAGACCCTTTTCTCCAACTCAATGCAGTCATTCGAGTCAAAGCCATAGCAGATCGAATGAAGTGGTTTGAGCTAAGGTTGAAGCCAACCAGCCGCAATTATCTGAGTTAAATTCAAAACTGACTGAGTCATGAGAAAGACAAAAGGATGACTAAATGAACCAATTCCGAACCATTTGGACTTAAACGAGACAAATTGACATTCAAGCCAACCAATACAGGAAAACAGACTAACTAAAATAGTCTATTTTTCGATACATATGATATGAGAATAAATGTTATTTCATAATATCATCAATCATCCCACGAACGCCTTTAGACTTCTCATCAAGAATAAAAAATTAACAGCACAACAAAAAAATTTATAGTCATTCATTGGGCTCTCCTCGTTGAGGAGAGAACTACATATCAGGTTTCGGTGATTCACTTTTTTGCTTGATAGTCCCGTGTCACTTTGTAAATATGAGTTTCTCACCAATGATTGAAAGCCAAAAACAATTTTTATCAGTCGATCGTTAACTCCAACCAAGCTTAGCCAAATAAACCAGCTTTGCCGACCCAGAGCAAATCATGCTCTGTCGACTGAACTAGAGAGCAGCTGAGCGATAGAATCATATACGCAAAATATCTAGAATATTATATACAACTCTCATTAAAGCAGGAGCAAAAAATGTAATATCACTGTATTGTACTTTCTCTCCTATAAATAGAGAAATCACAATGGATGACAAAATTAACCAGAAAGGATTGGAGAAGTCAATATGATTGATACGATTTATTGCTCACACTTGTATATTTTTCTCTGTCTCTCTCATTTTTATATGCTCTATTTCTTGGAGTGTGATTCACTGATAAATCAAAGTTCAATAGTTACCTTTTTTTTTTTTTTTTAATTACAAAACTAAGATTTAAAATACAATTTATTCATTAATCATTAATATAATTGACATTAAAATTTAATATAACTAAAAAAATTTTAGGAGCACATCAAATAATTTTTAAAAATTACATAATTAAAATTAATGATGATAGAAGGAACATATTTACAATTTGAAGATGAAAAAACTCTATAGAATATCATACACTAAAAAAGAAAAAAGAAATTAAGGCTAATAATGCACTTAATTAGAGATCATGCTTCCTCCTTTCTACAGCAACACTAAGGAAAAAGATGCTATATTGTATATTTTATTTTTTTTTTCTTCAATGATTTTTATAAGTGATAGGTTGCCCTAGAGTTGTGATTGTTTTTCTTAACCCAAATATAATGGGCACTGATTTCTATGGCCATAAGGAATTCTTTTACATGTACTAATATATCAAACTTATACTTTAATGTATGTATGTACTATCAAACTTATGTCAAAAACATAATAATCGAACGATCTGTGCATAAAAACTGACGCATGGGCGGTTGACATGTTAATGCACAGAAGTTGGGTGGTACATATATCAAGACCCTATTTTTTGTATTTTTATTTCATCAAATAGTACGAACAAAACTCAAAACTTGAGGTAGAGTATGCCTCATATGAAAGAAATGATCACAAGCAACTCATGTACATATGGTGGTCATAACATGGACGCATTCAAATAATAAATTGAAGCAATTTTAATGAAAATAACCTTCAAACCATATGAGTTTGTGCCAATCAACATCTTGTCTATGATTATAAAGTAAATTATTGTCATTAACATGGGAGAAAAAACACATTTCAATTCCAATATCAGCTGTTATTCTCACTACGAAAAATCAAGAAGCATGTCAAATTTAAGCGGCTCAAATGATTCCCATTAGTAGATAAGAGATAATTAGAAAGAGCGAATTTAATGAATTGGAGTCAATTAGTAAAAGAAAGTGGTGATTGCTTTTGACACCAAGCGAAGAGAAAAATTTATTGATAATTAGGGCTCGTTTGGGGCAGCTTATAAGTGCGAGAGAGTTTTTAAAAACATTGCGATACTGATTGGATCACGCGTTTTGCCCGTTTATCTGAAAACGCGATTCTATTTTTACACTAAATGCAAGCCGCGGATTGAACCCTACAGTCCACCCGAGGACTGCATTTCAGGATAAACTGTTTATCATGAAATGCACAAGATGCCCTAAACACACCCTTTGAGAACGGTTTTTGTTGTGAGCTTAAAGCTAAAAATAATGAAGCATAAGTCAGATTACGATAATGGCAAATATTAGACACTAATAATATCAATCATATCTTAAAATGTTTCAATAACTAACATCTTTAGAATAATAAATATAGGGCCGGATTGTATTAGTACTAAGCCTATAGAAAAAATTTCTTTAAATAAGAGATTTCAGAATGAACCAAATTACCTTTTTTTTTTCCGAAATAATTTAAATTTATAATTTATTAGAAATTTTTTATTTTATTTTAATGAGTTTGAGTTAAGAAGAATTTTTATTTAGTTTTGAAATCACATGCTTTAAACTCCAACAAATATAATTGTCTCTTTCGATGACGTTTGAGTATATTTCTGATCGAGTAAACTGTAATATAGTCTCTGACTATTTATATAGGACTGTTTTAATCTCATAATTTATAAAAGCGTTAAAATAAATTGTTTTTTACAGAAATTAAGGTTAAAATAGTTCCCATGAAAAGCTTTTCATGAGCTCAATTTTAAAATAATTACATATAAATATGACACTAAAATGGCAGCATGTAAATTATTGGAAACTTTAAGGAGGTGGGAGAGAGAGATGGAAGAAGGAGAAATTGTTATTATACAATAAGGAAAATATTTTGGAGCATTTATATACATATCACCCAATCACTATTTATTTACATATTTAACACCTTATCTCTAGCTTTTGCATTTATACCACACAAATCTTTCGTATCAGATAAAAAATGCACACTTGTCCATGCTTGATAAGGCGGCATATATGTAAAAATTAAAGTTTAGGTGCTAGATATGCGAATAGATAGAAATTGAGTGGTATGTATGTAAATCTTCCATATATTTTATTTTGAAGATTTCTGCCCCAAATAATCGAAGAAAAGAGCAAAGTTGGCGGTTTGGGGGCATCTGTTATAACATCAGATAATAAGCCCGGTCATAGAAAGCTGTATAATACATACCACACAATTCTTGAATATTTACATATCTAACAAGTAAACTTTCACATTTACATACATACCACTCAAATCTTTAATATCACATAAAAAATATCATTTTTACTTGCTTTTTTAAAAGTGAAAAACCATTTTCATGCATAGATTTACGACACCAAAACATTATAAATGTAACTATAAAAGTATAAGTGTTAGAAATATAAACACATAAGAATTGTGTCATATGTATGTAAATTTCCCAAAAATTAAAATTGATGTAATACTATGCCAAGTTATCAGGCCCGCACAAGGAGCTGCTTTGCATCGTGCATACACAAGCTAATATAAGTTCATCCACCAAGTGGAGCACATTCAAAATCAACTTGATTTCAAGTAGGATCGAAATCGATTAGAGTCGACTATAAGGCGAAGTTTGGTAGCATAGAATTAATAGTATTTACAAGAAATTTTACGTAAATACACCTAAATACAAAAAAAATACATGAAATGAACCCATCTAAATCCAATTTTTAGGTGGACTAGACGGATTTAGTGCACAAGAAAATGAAATCCTGATAAATTGTCAAACATAAGAGATGGATTTAAGTGGATTCAAGTTAAATCATACCAAACATTTTCTTGGATTTAACAGCACCGAAAATCCTAATTAAAGCCAAACATCCCCTAAATTAGAATCAAAATAGTCATAAATAAAAGATTTCAAGGTGAGAGGCCACAAAAGCATGAACAATTGCTTGCTAATAGGGCAGCTTACTCCTCATTTAAGACTTAGGGTATGTTTGGGGCAGTTGTAGGTTATTGAATAATCTGTTGATAGACTGATTAAAAATAATCTGTTGATAAACTAGATGCGTTGGATATTACAAATTTTTTTTTTTTGGAAAAAGTCAGACAATTGTCAATAAGGTCCCACCATAACCACAACTAGATAGGTGCGGTATGAAAACGCTGTTTTCTGCGTTTTGAAAACACATAAGTTGTCAAAATGCAGTCTACCCAAACAGGTCAGGTGCATTTTCAAAACGCCACCGCACCAAATAAGCTGCCCCAAACGGGCCCTTAGGCACATAAATATTTGTATGCCAATTCAAATTGACTCGAATTTGGTTTAAAGCGAGCCATTCTAAACTTGGATATGTTTCATGGTTAATTCTTCTTAGTCAAACACATTTGAATCGATCTCGATTTGGCTCAAAATTTTGAACAAGTTTCAAGTGAGTTCCAATCTTTCGATTTTTCACTTAGCCCCTAAATTTAGCCCTTAGTTTCTATAAGTAAACATTTAATATGATGCAAAAGCTAATGGAATGTTCTCACACCCCTCTATTTAGTGAATTCAAGGTCATCAAAAATCCTTCTTGACAAAGATAGTAACATTTTATGCAAGAATGATTAATAAGGCTGAAAACAGAGTTCATATTGCATATAATCATATTTGTTACATAATTACCAAACTAAATTACAATTTATATCTTTGTTAACACTGAAAATTAGAATAACACAAAAGGGCTAAAATTGTTATAATTAGAAAGTTAACAATAAAAATCAAATTTTTGCTCACCCAATATTATAGATTATGCTTTGCGAAAACTCCTCCTCCTCAATGCATCTCCAAATCTTCCAAAAACCGTCTTCTTCTTCTTCTGCAGCTTCTCGTTCTTTGATTCATGGAATAATATTCCATCTAAATGATCAAAACCATCCGAGCTTGATCTCTTATCATGTCTTTCAAATGCTCCTCTCTTATCAAACGCTGAGTATTGCGCAATACCCGACTCTCCGACGGAACGCCGGCCGCCATTTTGTATCCGAGGGTTGTCCCATCGGTCAGACGAGAACTTCTTCCCATTCTTAGTTATCTTTCTATCTTCACTGGTTCCATTTGATTGCCCAAAGGGTTCAATTTCTAGCAAATTTGAGGAGGCCATAATGGACTCTGTGCCTGAAGATGAAGCAAGCCGGTTCTTCATCTCCTTCACGCTAGCAAGAGCAGCAGTTTCACTGACTTTGAGGCTCTCATACTCCTGCTTCATCTTCTCCAAAGCACTTTCTTTCTCAGAAAGCAGTTCTTTAAGCTCATGATTTTCATTCCGCACAAGTGCAAGAGATTCCTTTACCACCATGGCTTCATTCACTGCCTGTTTGATGATATCCCGCAGCTTCGAATTTTCTTCCTTGGCCGCCCTGTGGGCTTCAACGAGCTTACTGTTCTCCTCATCTTTCTTCTCCATACCTTCTTCAGAAATCATGACGCAGTTTCTAAAGCTGTCTTCTTTTACTTTCCAAGCAATAGAAGCTTCCTGATATTCCAGTTTCAGCTCATTATAACCCTCCACAGCCTCCTGCCGCTTCTGCTCGGAGCTCTGGAACAAAGACTTTGTGTGTTCAGATTCTGCTCTGAGTATCTCCAACTCAGATATTCTCACATCAAGTTCTTCCTTTGCCAGAGTAGCTTCAGTGGTGACTTCCTTGAGTGCAATGGCGAAATCATCCATGGCTTTCTTGCTCTTCTCTTCTGCCTCCAGTGCTAACCTAAGCTCATTTCTGAGCATTCTGACCTCCTCTTGTGCTTGAAAGGCCTGAACAGAAGCTAATAATCCTTTCTTCTCCGGTGGTCCTGCGCTCTCCATGAGGTTCCTTACCTCTAGTTTGGCTTCTTCGAGCAAAATCTTGGTTTGCTCGAGCTCTTTGGTTTGAGATATCAAAGATTCAAGCAATTTCATTTCGGATTCCTTGGCCTTTTCAACTTCTAATTCTAACTTCATGATCCTATCAGCGCTCTGTGCGAATCCTTCGTTCTTTTTCTTCAGTTCTGCAAGTTCTTCAAGGGCTTGGGATCTCTCTTCCTTTGCCCTCTTCATATCGGCCAGAACCTTGCCCAGTTGCTGCTGCATCTCAGGAACTCGCATAGTTCTTTGCTTCTGAAGCAATCAGAGCAGCATTAATAAGCACAAGTTGAAGAAATTTGGTCTCAGAGGATTGCAAATTTAAGGGAGGAGATTGTTGATGGGTACCTCTTGGAGAGAGTGCGACATAGGAGATGGCTTCCGATCGGACGCCCTGGAAACCCTAGAATCAATAGGATCGGAGGAAAAAGAAGAACCCCTTGTTATTTTGGGCGAAGGGCTCCTCTTCGGATTGGAAGAAGAAGAAGAGCTTTTTTGTGTCATTTCAGAAGAACCGGGCCTTAAATTGCTTGATGGAAAGACGGAAAAAAAAAATAGAAATCATCAGAATAATTTAAAAAATTCGATCTTCCTTTAAAACCACTCAAAGCATCGATAAAGGAGGGAACTTTACTCTACCTCGATCTAATTCCTTGCATTCCGAAAAACTCAAACTCCCTATTTTCTCCTGAAATCCATGAAAGCTTTCAGAATCCTCATCATAATAGAGCCAAAAAAAAACACAAAAATGGAGAAAACAGGACTTGGGAAGCTTCAAGACCTCGAAGACTCTTCGTTGATTCACTTCCACTCTTCTTCCGAATTCAGAAGAATTTCTCTGCAAAAGGAGAGATTTTCTTCCAAGTTGCAGTCACCCGGAGAGTTGACGGGATTGATAGTTCGTAATGATCAGCCTGCCGTCCTTGAACGGGAAAGAGCGGGGAAATAGTCTGTAGATCTTGATGAATTATGGCCGTACGATCTTCCTTATGGGTCTTCCGAT